TGGTACAAGTTCCGCCTGGGGTCGACTGATGTACAGAACAGCACTCCTTTATCCCACACATAACAGAAGTGCGGCCTAATTGGCCCCATTGCGAGCAGAGTTTCAAAGACGCACTACAAGATCGATGCAACTCCTTTCCATGTGCAAGAAGGGAAGGTCCGTAGCTGTAGAAAGATATCACTGTCTCCTATTGGAAATGCGCGGAAGTAAAGCTGGTATTGTTATAACTGTACGTTTTCTATCTGTGCGCTCGCCATTCAGTAAGTGACGGGCAGGCTGCAAACACGAGACAGGCCACACGGACGGCAATGCGCCTAACCATAGCCATATGCGCTACGTCTCTGCGCTTTCTCGCGCTTGGCTGATGCGCCATTGTCTCTACCCTCTATTTTGGCAGCCTGCCAACACGTTCGGTATCAGGGTCGAAATAATTGGCGAAGTTCCACAGGGAACGCAGTGGCAACATGCCCGCAACGTGTGGCATGCGCCTCGCCTATCGAACAGCGTAAAGTAATGCTCGATAGAAGAGCGTTTATGTTTTGGGTTATCCTAGCCAGGTACGGTGACTGCTTCGCGGGAGGGATGGATCTGGTCACTTTAGTGTTGGCGTATGCCTTGCTGTGGAAGCGCGACAAATCGCAAACCCGACGAAGTGAGACAAGTGTCGTTATAGTTATCAGTTATCATTTAGTGGAATGGATGCGACGAAAAAACCAGGTTTCTTCCCAGTTTGCTGCCGCATCCTCTCGGTGTACACATGGCAACACAGACTGCGATTATGATGGAAAGGTAGTCAAAAATGCTGGTATTTTTATGTTATTGTTATTACTTTATCTTTTTATTTTCAGGATTCGGAGTTGTCGAACTGGGAGCGTACGTTTTTCCACGATCTCAACAAGGATGTACTTTTTATGGTGCTGAATACTGCTAATTATATGGGGATTTCTGGCCTCGTTGGCGCAGGATCAAGTTACATAGCGGAAATGATTTCGGTATTGATCCTCACGTTTTTTTTGTGGGAGTGCTTCCTTTCTAAGGACTTTTCGGATCCACCCTTACGGATATACAGTCGCGGTAAGAAAAAAAAAACTTGGAACGAGCCCAAGTCGCGCTTTTCTCAGTAGCTTTACCTAAAAGTTTTAAACTGTACATGGAAACGTTTTTGCTCAGGTCAAGTGCTTCTAAAAAAGCTACTCTAAAGAAGAGAGTTGATTGACTGGCTGTA